CCACCATAAGAGTGAAGTCTACAGACATTAATTTCTTATTTTCTCCCAAGAGTGAGTAATATAACGATCGGTTAAATTCAAGAAAGAATTAAATTCAGGACTCCTAGTAAATGCCACTATATTGGCCTTAGTTTTTATGCCTCACAGTGAGGACTGGGAGATCAGGAATAACTCATCACTGGAAGGTATACCCAGGACAGTGCTGGGTACATAGTATATTTTAATACATTTTCATTGCAGGAATTAATCAATGCTAAGGAGTCCTGGTGTGGCTCTGTGGGTTAATGCGCCAGACTTCAAAGCCATTTGAACTACAAGGTTGGTGGTTCAAGCTCACCAGTCACTCCTTGGAAACACTATACAGGGTCGCTGTTGGTCAGAACTGACTTGACAGCATGCAACAACATAACAAAAGGCTTAAGACATTTAAATTTCCTGATCAGAAATTGGAACCAGGAGACAGATATTGAACTGACCAGAAGAGAGACGTTCAAAGGCAAGATTACATAATTTCTTGAAAGTCTCCCTTAGTCTGATGTTATATTCCTACATATAACCAAAACCCACTGCCACTGTGTTGATTCCAACTCACAGCAACCCTTTATATAGAGTTTCCGAGGTCATAAATCTTTAATGGAGCAGAAAACCTTCTCTGTCTCATATGGAGCAGCTGGTGGTTTTGAACTATTGACCTTGCAGTTAGTGGTCCAGCGGTAATCCTATAGTGCCACTAGGGATCCTTATATTCCTACATATTGTTGCTGTTAAGTGTCGTTGAGTTGGTTCCAACTCATAGCAATCCTGGATAGGGTTTCTGAGGAGCGGCTGGTGAGTATTCCTTCATAGCCACTATGAAACAATAGATTTCCTGGATATCTCCAAAATGATATTAAAAGTTATTATGTTGAGTCTTGGCACTTTCTGAGAATAAGAATAACCACTGAGGCTAAAATCAGTTCTGTTCTTTGCATTGGGTCAGCATGTTGTTCCAACCAAGAGCGTGGCCTCACACTGAGAGCCCTTACTTTCTCAATTCCAAACACTGTTATCATAAACTTTACTGTATATTGTAATGCTTATTGCTACAGTCAGATCGTGTTACAGCTTTGCTAAAAATTCCTTAGTAAATCACCATTGTTTCTGGGATAAAATCCAAATTCTTTTACATGGTTGACAAGACTCTGTATTATTTGCTCCTTGTTGTTAGGTAATGTGCTGGATTGCAAAGCCTGCTTGAGCTGCAAGGCCAGTGGTTCAAGCTGACCAGCCGCTCCTCAGAAAACCTACACAGGATCACTATGGGTCATGAACATTGCATGGCAAGCATACCTTACTAGTGTCGTTGCTCCCCCATATATCTATCTACTGATTGGCTAAAAATTAGGGGCCATAGTCTTGACACAAGGTAGTAGTCTTTTTAATAGTTTGAAAATTTTTTTTAAAAATCTGGGGTTTGCATTAAGTGATGGTATATGTTCTGAGTTACACCGTGCAGCTATAACAGTGGTGGCTATGACAAACCAAAATATATTTTCTCACAGTTTAGTGTAGTTTTGTAGGGTAACTGCAAGTTCACTAGTTCAAATTCACCAAGCACTCTCAGAAACACTATACAGGGTGGCTATGAGTTGGAACCGGCACACACCACCACCACCACCCACCAAGATGCTAGAAGTCCAAATTCAGGGAGTGGGTCCTAATGGAATCTTTCTTCCTCTGCCTGTTTTGGGTGAAGTTTCTTGTCTCTTCAGCTTATTTCTTAGTTTCTTGGAGATCTCCAGGTGTTGTGGTGTCTATTTTATCCTTCTTACTGTTGGACTGTTTAGTCTCTTTTACATGAAAAGAGATTGACTCAAGATATCTCTTATGAAATTCATGCCTCATTAATACAACAGACAATCCATTCCCAAATGGGATTTAAACACAGGCACAGAAGTTAGGATTTACAACACATACATTTGAGGGACGTAAGTCAATCAAAGCGCAAGAGTAAATTAATTATTGAAACTTAAAAAAATTCTTGCTTCATATTTGCATTCAAAACGAATTATTTCTTACACACACACACACACATTTTTCCAAAAGGTCAACACTGCATTCCTACCTCATGTTTCATCTGGAAGTTCTGCACAAGGTTGAGGTCAGTGAACATCCGAATTGTACATAGTGCTGTTTCCAGATCGGACAGCTCAAAGTCACTGAAGCTGAAGTCAGTAATTCTAAGGGTCTGAGCAGATGGTACCACAGCAGCCTTAGGTAAGTTGAGAAGAAGAAAATGAAATAAAACTGTTAATTCAAGCAGCAGTGATTCCCAAAGCTTTCTAACTTTGCTACAATAAAATATCAGAATCTGTTTAGTAGCTATTTTTTTTTCTTCTTTTTAACGTTGTGTATAGGAATTGCTCCCATTTTAATCTTTTAAACTGAGATATATGGGGGTAACTAATGTGGTTCTTGGTAGAGTAGGTAGAGAAGGGAGGGTGTACTCTCTAAGACTGTCGACTAGAGCAGTTAGAGGCATGAAGGCTCCTGATGATCTTCTCTTCTCATACCTCCAGCTGTGGGTTAATGCACTAGACTTCAACACTGATTTGAACTACAAAGTCAGAAGTTCCAACTCACCAGTTGCTCCTCAGAAAACCTATATAGGATCACTATGGGTCAGAACCAACCTGACGGCACTTAATAACAACAACAGGTTTATTTATTCAACAAATATTTATTGAACAATTATTCTGGTTCTACACCAGTGCTGTTGTTAAGTGCTGTGGAGTCGGTTCTGACTTGTAGCAACCCTGTATATGCTTTCCAAGGAGTGGCTGGTGGGTTTGAGTTGCTGACCTTGTGGTTAGCAGTCCAGTGCTTATTCTACAATGCCATATCAGGACTGCCACATCCAGTGCTATAGACTAGTAATAGACTGAGCAGACTAGTAATAATGTCCTAACCAATTTACATTTAATTCTTAGTAGATGCTCTCGCGCCATTATTCAAGTACATGCTGTGGAATTACCTTACAAAAAAGCAGTCCCTCCTCATTGTATAAAGGTCAGGTCCTGAGAGTAGTCTTTGACTTTTACCCCGACTGCCTAGGGGGATTGCCCACAGACTGATACAAATCCTAGAACACAGAGAGGCTCAGAGGAGGCCTCCTGAAAGCTAGGACCAGGAGGGGAGTGTATCCTTGGAGCACAGAGGACTTGTATGTGAAAGTCTGAGGCCGGGTCAACCTGCAACAGTGATGGAAGCAGCAACTGTGATGGTACTAGAAGAGCCGGAGCCAGTGCACAGGTCCAAACAGGGCAGCAGAGTGCAAAGACTGAATGCTGGTCAACAGCTGTAACGTCCTGACAGATGATTGCCCACAGAGCAAGGACTGTCCAAGAGCTAGCGGGCAGGTGCTGGAAGCTAGCTAAGAGTAGCAACCTATTGGCTGACAGTGGATCCTGCTACATAACACCACCGAAAAAGTTTCCTGATGAAACTGAAGAATGAACTAAGAATGAAGATTATTTTCCTGGAAGGCTAAGTATGTTTCCTTTGAGACATAAGTGTGCCCCATTGAGAGGTTGAGAACTCATGTGAGGAAGCCTCCTGAACGTCACCCTATGCACATCTTCATTTCTGTTGATACACTTCTCTGTTACATTAAAGCTGGTGTTTCTGTGATTTCTCTATAACCAATGTAATGAATTATCAAACTCGATAGGAAAAGAGTGCCAAAGGGTGAATAGTTGGTATCAGCAATGGTGGAAAAGTTAGAGAATGAGAGTGTATTTGACCTCTGCCTCATAGGAACCAACTTGGTGCTGATTTTTATACTCAGAGTCATTATTTTACCATGGAAGCCCACCTTATTCAGGAATGGACATAGGCTTCCATCCAGGCAAGCCATCTTGCTCTCAGATTTGACACAATCCCTACTCTGGAGCCTAAGAGAACCTGTTTTTTATACTTGTTCCACCTAAGCCTGATCCTAAGAGGCACTTGGAGATTCTGATTCAGTAGTTCTGGGAGTTTAGTTTTGTTTTTTAGGAAAGAAGCTGCTTTTGTAATTAACAACCTTGGTTTTGATTTTTATAATCATTTAAGTATAGTGTTGATGTTGTTATTAAGTGCTGTTGAGTCATTTTTGACTCATATCAACCCTGTATAGGATTTTGGAGGAGTGACTGGTGGGTTTGAACTTCTGACCTTGTGGTTAGCAATACTGTGCTTATCCAATAGTACCACACAAGGAAAATACCCCAAATTCCTTCAAATAAGTACTTTACCCAACCCATGGTATTTTCATTCACCTCGTATACATGTGAAAGTTGGACAATGAATAAGGAAGACTGCAGAAGAACTGATGCATTTGAATTATGGTTTTTGTGAAGAATATTGAAAATACTATTCAGTGCATGAAGAACAAACAAATTTGTCTTGGAAGACGTACAGCTAGAATATGTACTTACAGAAGTAAGTACTTTCTTAAAAGCGAAAATGGCGAGACTTCGTCTCTCATTCTTTGGACATGTTCTCAAATGGACCAGTCCCTGGAAAGGGAAATCATGCTTGGAAAAGTGGAGGTTTCCGTGAAAAAGAGAAAAGACACCAACAAGATGGACTGACTGACTGACAATGGCAGCAAGCATGGGCTCAAATGTATCAACAACTATAAGGATGGTACAGAACTAGAGAGTATTTCTTTCTGCTGTACATAAGGTCACTATGAGTTGGAACCAACTGAAAGGCACCTAATAACAACTTTTCCATCAATTACCTTTGTACCCTCTGCTTCTACTTGCAAAGTACCCCCATGCTCTTTAACTGACCGACAGACTCCTTAAAGGCATAGTTCCCATCTAAAGATGGATTAAATTCCCTCTGATCTGGCCTCACTCTGTTGTTGTTGTTAAGTGCCATCCAGTTGGTTCCAACTCATAACAACCTTGTCTAGGGCTTCCGAGGAGCAGCTGGTGAGCTTGAGCCACACCTTGTGGTTCAAACCGACCTTGGAGTCCAGCACATTAACCCACAGCACCCATCAAATCAGTTCTGACACACAATAACCATGTACAACAGAGTAAAACACTGCCTGGTAATGTACCATCCTCACAATTGTTGATATGTGTGAGCCCCTTGTTATGTCATTCCTTAAAGAGTGACTCTCTACTTTACCAAGCATATGCCCTTCTCCAAGGACTGCTTCCTCCTGATAATATAAAAAGAAGTCTCACCATTCACCTTAATAAGAAGCATTCTGGCTGTATTTCTTCCAAGAAAGATTTATTTGTTCTCTGGAAATATATTCAGTATTTGCCAATATCATAATTCAATTGCATCAATTCTTCAGTCTTCCTTATTTAATGTCCTGTTCTCATATGCATATGAGGCAACTGAAAAACACATGGCTTGGGTTAGGTGCACTAGTCCTCAAAGTGACATCTTTGCTCTTTAACACTTTAAAGAGGTCTTTTGAAACAGACTAGTCACTGTACAATATGTCGTTTGATTTCTTTGCTGCTTCTATGGGCATTGATTGTGGATCCAAGTAAAATGAAATGCTTAACAACTTTAACTGTTTCTTCATTTATTATGACATTGCTTTTGCGTCCAGTTGTGAGGACCACTGTTTTCTTTATGTTGATATATAATCCACATTGAAGGCTGTAATCTTTGGTTTTCATTAAGCAAGTGCTTCAAATCTTCCTCACTTTCCACAAGCAAGGTTGTGTTATTTACATATGTTGTTGTTGTTAAATGCCATCGACTCAGTTCCGACCCATAGCGACCCTGTATAGAGTTTCCAAGAGGGAGGTGGTAAGCTTGAACCACCAACCTTGCAGTTCAAACAGCTCTGCCATCTGGCGCATCAGTCCACAGCGCCACACCAGGACTCTTGTTGACATGTATTGTTGTTAAGTGTCGCAGAGTCAATTCTGACCCATAGTGACCCTGTATAGGGTTTCCAAGGAACAGCTGGTGAGCTAGAACCACTGACCTTGCAGTTAAAATGACTTTGCAGTCTGACACATTAGCCCACAGTGCCACACCCGGACTCCTATTTACATGGAGCAGGCTGTAAAGGAATCTTGCTCTATTTGTTAATATAAATCTTTATTAAATAAACAAGTTGGGTTTAAACCCTGACCTTGCAATTAGCAGCCCAATTCCTAACCTACAGAGCCACCAGGGCTCCTTAATGAGGAGGAAAGAAAAATCCCATTTCCTTAGTTCAATCTGAGTCAACTAGTTATGTATTTAAGAATTCTAAAGCTTTCTGGGAGGTGAAGCTTATGAACCTGAGTTGGAATACTGGAGACCTGGTAAATGACTTAGTTCTAACTTGTTTGGTTCAGTGCAGTATTTTAAAAACTAACCAAATTTGTTGTTGTTACATCAAGTTGGCTCCAACTATGGTGGCTTCCTGTAGAATAGAACAAAACACTGCCTGATCTTGCACCAATCGATGTTTGCGTCTATTGTTTTGGCTATCATGTCAAGCCATATCACTGAGCATTTCCTGCCTTTCCATTTTACCAAACATGATGTCCTTTTCTAGCGATTGGTTTTTCCTGATTGAAGACGTGTCTGAAAAGTAAGCGAGATTAAGTCTCACCATTCTCGCTTCTAAGGAGCATTCCAGTTGTATTTCTTCTGTGATTGATTTGTTCATTCTTTTGGCACTTCATATTATATCCATTATTCTTTGCCAACATCACAATTCAGACATAGAACAACTGTGAATGCATCAGTTCTTCTATCTTCTTTTTGCATTGTCCAGCTTTTATATGCATATGAGGCAAGTGAAAAGACCATGGCTTGAGTCAGGTGCACCTCAGTTGTCAAAGTGATATGTTAGTTATACTGGTCAAAACTTGGATGAATTTAACCAAATAATTTTGTTTCCATAGTCCCTGAAACACCAGGTCAGTTGAGTTCCAATTCCCTGGAAGCCACACCTGACTAAGGAGAGGAGCCCCGGCTCACTCAGAATGAGCAGAGAATGCAGAATTCTACCAAAATTCCCTGCTATGCCACTACAGGCATCAGAATTTGCAGGAATCCCCTCCTACTTGGTCCACCCTCTTGACCATTCATCCTTCCAGTAATTTTTAGAATGCTTTAGTTAGATGCAGCTGAAATGTTTCCCAAAGAGAAGAGGCTTTAACCTGGTGTGAGACAGAAAGGAGAAAAAAAAATGAAGAAATCTGAACTAGGCTTCTTCTCTTACTTTATTGTTTCTTCTTGACTCATTCCAAATCC